AAAGGAGAGACGCTCGATCGATGACGAGGCTCGTGAAAACCGTTTGCGGGCTGACAAGTCCTATCGTAAATACATAATATAATGTACATATATATGGTATTGATACGGTTGTAATGTATGTACTGTAACTCCCGTGCAACTCGAAAAATGGATAGTAAGGTCAGGATCGTGTGTAGTCGTGGAGATGATATTGTGATGCCGCAGCGCAGTGACTGCAGGCAGGACACTATAGCGATGTACAAAGACACAAAGTGATGAGATCACTCGCCGTAATGCGACGACAAGAGACCGCCTCGACAAAATAACCAGTGTCTCATTAAATGAAATTATTTATTTTGTTATAATATAAATTCTAAAAACATTTTTAGCCGGCTGGGGCGTTTCTCTCGTAATTTATAAGCTATAGAGGGTCAAGGCCGCTAGTGCACTACAACTGCCCTACGCTAAAAAGTTATTTCACATTTTAAATTACTTATCGTAAAATACAAGCTTACTTTTATGAATATGTTGTATGTGGCATATAGATGATGGATAGTTAAATAACTTTCGCCGTGTATTAATATGTATTAATAGACAACAATATTTACTGAATCTATTGAAATCTACGGAATATTATAACTATTGTAACATTTATAAATTATAATAGCGTAATATTCAATAACTGAAGTATAAGCTACACGCAATCAAATACGATTCATATAAATACTTAGACAGCTATCAAGTCGTGTCGGTAGTAACTGAAATTCGCCAAGCAGCAAATACCTAATTAGTAATTACTATAATTGGTATTACCTAGCTATATCGATAGTCAATAGGTACTCGATATCCACGCGGACCAGCACCGCTATTTTTAACCATACGTATATATTTTATCAGCAAATATTAACTTCAGTAATTTGCTTGTTCTAGAGCAGAGATGGCGAACGTATGACACGCGGGTCACGAAGTGACCCTCTTATGCTCTTTTAGTGACACACTCAACTTGTTTTTTTATCATTCAAGCCACGGATGTAGGCATTTTTTAAGTTTAAAAAAAGTGTCATACAATTTTTGACACGTGGGTACTGGAAAGTTCGATCCCTATTCTAGGGTTATAGTTTTTTTAATAACGTCAAAGGCTCGAACCTCGAAGCCACATAATAACACTACCCAGTATCTACATGGCTACACATCCCACAAAATCACTAGGACTACGGACTGGGCATTTAATTAAATTGTATATTTATGAGTTTGGTTGCAAATTATTGAGTGACTATCTAGTTTATGTTTGGAGCATAAAATTAATAAGATAAAAATATATTGTCATTGATCATTGGTGGATTTAGAAGAGGGCACTTAGGAGCTAAACCACTCATCATTCAGCATATGTATTGTTATGTACGGACGTCCAGCCATATATATACATATACATTACATAAAATACTTGAGATAGGTATAGGATCACCGTAATATATGGGTTGTCGATATATTCTTTGTAAAGGAGCCAACCCCTCGGACAAAGACAAAGCTAGGCCAAACAAACAAAATTAATAGTATAGTTATGAGAATAGGATAAGGGAAATTACGTTGAGAAACGTACACCAGCAGATAGAAAAAGCTGGGAATTCGAAATTTGGAACAAAAAAAAAAAAATTAATTCGTTTTGGGTATAGAAAATTAGAAAATGTATGCCAAAATAAAAAAGGTATATTTTTCCGACACTCAATTAGAGCCATATTTAGCAGTGTAAACATTTTCATTAAAGACTTGGCTTAATTCATATATTTTAAAGCCACGGAATACTTTCGTTGCAACTCATATTTATTAGTTAGTTTCATAAATCCATATATTTTAAAGTTTTGTATATTACTGCTTAAGAAAGTGGAGGTATTTAAGTACCTAGGTGTTAACATAAATAGCAACAACGACATGCATGAAGAAATCAATGATCGAATAGCATGTGGCAATCGATGCTACTATAGCATAATGAGACTCCTTAAATCAAAACTACTGTCACGTAATTCAAAGCATGGCTATAGATCTATAGCCATGATTCAAAGACACTACTGTATCATAGCTATCTACGACCAATAATCACATACGCGAGTGAAACATGGTCACTGACCAAAGGAGACAGCAAACGGCTAATGACCTTCGAAAGAAAAGTACTGAGAAATATATACGGCCCGAAATTCGATGCAGAATCGCAAACTTATGAAAGAAGGAATAATCAAGAACTACAGGAGTTATATAACAGGCCAAATATTATTGCATATATAAGAAGCAAGCGACTGGAATGGTTCGGTCATGTTTGGAGAGCGAATGGACAAGTAATAAAAGAAGTTTTAATTAACACAATAAATAAAAAACGTCCATTAGGAAGACCAAGGACCCGATGGGTGGACGTTATAGCTCAAGATATAAAAAACATAGAAGAAGCGTCATCTTTTGACGACGCATACGATAGAGAGAAATGGAGAGGTTTTGTGATGGCAGCGATGGCACTTAATGGGCCGATAAGCTGAAGAAGAAGAAGAAGAAGATATTACTGCTTAGACAGACTGAAAACATTTTCGTATATCATTTTTATTAGGTGTTTTTTGACGATATAATAGGTACCACGTTATCGGATATGGTTATTCATTAAATCATCGAATAACAACAAACGCAGTGCATTTTATCAGATATTAATTACTTATAAAGTTATTACCTATAAGGTAATAATAATATTTATTCCTAAAAATAAATAAAAAAAATATTTAATAGGTACATACATTCAAGAATGCAGTCTATAAAATCACTATCAATAAGCCCACAACATCAATTATAAATTATAATAATAAGTTAATTAAACAATGATAATTTAAAGGTCATCAGCTGGTTAACAAAGTTTAAAACAATTAACTAGAATTGAATTATAAAAAAAAATGGGAAGGGGAGTATGGGCGCCTGCAGGAATTTTAAGAATCAAACATTTTATTATAGGCTTAAATAAAATAATTTAAACACAAATTAACACTTAATAACTAGGTATAGGTAAGATAACCTAAAGGGATTATAGCTCACAGGCATACCTATTGTTGAATATTTTATTATAGGCTGAGTGTTATTTCAGAGGTGGTATTCGTCAGTGAAAATTTTTCATATTGCACAGTGTGAAATTCGTTAACGTTGCAGTGTTTCAAAGATTAAGTTGTACAGTAGAAGACATGGGGTATGTACTTTTTATTTAAAAAAAATGTATTGTTAAATTAAAATTTAATATCCTTGATTATTTGAGTTTTTTTTTGAAATTTTTGTTAATAAATATTGTAGTGTAGTCGTGAATTTATTTACATTTATATTTGCATTATTCTTATCATTTATAATGGCAACCCAGTTTGTAAGCTTAATTAAATGATTTAGTTTATTATAATTAATTGTGTTATATAGGTATAATAGTATCTGTATGTGTATTGTTGTTAGTTGTGAGTTGTGTTCTATTATATGTAAAATTATGGGATAATGGTCTGTTATTAATGAGTCGATAATGGATGCCTGTGCGTAGATCGGTGTATTAGTATTACCTAGTATTAATGTTAGTAAAAACATGGTCTATACAGGTGTTTGATTCAGGGCGAGTAGCTATATTAACATGTGCTGTAAAATTATGTGAGTTTAGTATATCTAAATAGTTTTCTGTATTATGGGGAGTATCAAGTATGTTAATGTTTAAATCACCTATGATCATTATTTTAGTATTCTTGTTTGTATTGACTAGGCTTGTAATTACAGTATTGAATTCTATTAGGAAGTTATTAATATTGTCATTAGGAGATCTGTGTATCGACAAAATACCATAATTATGAGTCATAATTTATGACCATTATGTTCTATTTATGTAAATAAACAATTTGTATCTTGAATAATTAATTCTGTTGTGTTGAGTATTATATGATTATTTATAAACATAATGATACCATCTGACTTAGGCACATTGTTTTTTGTAGTTACTATGTTAAAGTCTGTGTAGAATGGAATATATTTAGAGTTGAAGTCACAATGAACATACTAAATGTATACCTAAATGGTAATACACTATACTTCTAATGTCTTTACACTAATGCAGCTAACACGTCATTTTACCTACCGATATATAATTTAATTTATATTTATCACGACACGGATCCAGAGCATAGCAGTTCTGGCAGTGGTGGCGCCAGGGGGGGGCTGGGAGGGCCACGCCCCCTAAATTTGTCTTGGCCCCCCTTGAGGGCCTAACCACAAGAGAAAAAAAATTCTTTAAATTTATAATAAAGTACATATTTTTAATGTAAGTTTGTTGAAAATGATTACTAATGTTTAAGTGTGTAAATATTAAATAATATACCTATACCTATGATATTTATTATCAGTTAAAATGAAAACCAATAATTATGTGAAAACTTAGTACACGCAACACAACCTTTACAATAGTGTGTAAGCCCCCTACCCTATACCGAGCCTATGAATGGGAAAAAGACCACGGATTGGGACTTTTTTTGGCCCTACCAAATTTTCAAAGGCCACCAATGGGCCTCCCGGCTCCCCAAGATAAAATTCCTGGCGCCGCCACTGCGTTCTGGGGATTGCCCAACAACACAAATACAAATACAAATACAAATCATACATTATTTATTATAAATTGTTCAATATTGTTTACAATCACTGGTAGTATCCGGCGTAGTGAGGATTCGGATGTTTTGGGGAATAGGGCGGCTTGGCCTCTAGTCCCTCTGTTATTTATTCTCATACAGTATATATCATGAACTAACGAGTAACGTCCGTGTTATAATGAAAAATAAATGGTCGATTATTAATTATATTGTAGGCGGGAACGCGATTTGAAAATATACTACTACGTCGTGTAGAGCGGGAATTTCCAGCTTGGCGACACTGTGGCGCAGCGGCGGCGACCTTGAATATTCGCCAAGAACGCGCCCTAATCTCTGCTCTCTAATCACGACAGCAGCAGCTGTTTACCGCGGACGCGAGTGCAGTCGTAAGTTGTTGTATTTCGTATTTTTGTGCTGTGCGTCGACCGCAGCCTGCTGGCAGGTGTACAGTTGTTGTCGCTTATCGAACAAGCCGCGGCTCATCCGAAATCCGTGAAATCGCATCACCGACGGACCGCCCGCCCTCGACGCGACAGTTCCGTTCCGTCTATACCGTTCGTGCGACAAAAACAATAATACATTAATATAGTTTCGCCGTCGTCGGTTGCGTTCTTCTCCGCGTCGAACGTTTCGAACACGCGTAATTCTCGCGTTGCTGTTCGCAGCAACATCGACGCCGTCATCAGAGTTCGGGCGCGGCGAGCGTGTAATTTTTTTTTGAAAGAAAACGAAATCCGCGATTGCGAGAAAACACACGGGCTCTCACACGTACACGGTCGCGCGCGCACGCTCAGGCACACGCGGGCCGCCGATAATAATATTATTACGTCGCGATTTATAATAATATATATTGTAATCTATAGGCGGTGCGTGCGAGTTTTTCCGTTGTTGTTGTTATTGGTTATTGCTCGTTTCTCGTCAGTGTGATACCCGGTCGCGTCGGTGTCGTTTCGCCTTCGCGTGTTTACCGCCGTCCGGATTCCCTTGCCCCGTGTGACGCAATTCGCCGAGCAGAGTTTCGCTACCGTCAGTCGCTGACGACTTTTTCCTACTTCCCCGACCGGATTTCCAGCTGTCGAAGACTACCGACGGACGACTACGATCATGTCGCTGAATACGGCTCATGTGCAAGGCGGCGGTTGCCTGATACACGCAGGCGAATGGTGAGTCATAGAAGTGATTATGTACATAATATGTGACGTTCGTTGTACCACCTACTTACGGATTATTATTTATTATCGCGGATGGTACTACCGAATACCGATGCACTCGGTGCAGAATTCGTTGCAGCGGCGGTGGCCAATAATTGCATTTCGGGCTCTCCCCTCTTCTTTGCGTATTCCGGACGAACCCGCCATTATAGATATGCCTCCCCCCCGTGGGGGGCTCATTCTAGAACGAAGTTCGTTTGCGAATGCGTAGTGGCATTCCAAGTGTCGGAAATGCGGGCTCGGGAATACGGCACCTGCTGGTCGTTAGTGGAACGCAATTAGAACACACTCGCACCTTTAGTTTGGACTAGATCCAAGATACCCAAGCACTGGCTATCATGCCAATTTTTACGACAGGACCACCAACACTGTCTAATATAATATTAGGCGTTTTATTTGTTTATTTACAATGTAGGTACTTACATACCTACCCCTTGTTTTTCACATTAGTTTCTGTACCTATTTACATTTTACTTCCTCCGTTGTAGGTATCTACCAGAAAAAATGTACGATGGTATTTTAATGTCGGGTAGGTCGTAGGCATCTAACTAATAATATGTCACATACCTACTTGTTTCTGTACGTTTTGTTTATATAAGGTACTTGGATGGAAACCAGAACTGATCTTTATAACACTCAAGATACATAGTATATTTCACCACTGTTAGCAATGTTCTAGAATATTCTATGGGCAGTAATCATTTCATTGGACTTTCTAATGCTATTCAATGTTCTTAAGAAATTAATTGAAGTTCTAATGACTAATACTAATAGCATTAAGTATTTTTTCTATTGAATTTTTTTCATTTTACTTGCATCATCAACCTATTTAAGCAGATGATGTTTTTTATTGTGACACTTTTCAATAAAACTTAATAATTATTAGTATAGCATTAAAATAATTTAAGTTTTGTTTTAAAATTTTTTTGTCCAATCTTATAGGGACACTGTTCAACTTTTTTTATTATTATTTTCGATTTTGTTTTTTCAATTAGAATCTTTGGTTAAGTATAATTCATAGTAAAAAAAATATAAAACTAGTAGGTATAGGTACCTACTTCCCAAGAAATAATTAATCTCATAAACGTTTAACAAATAATAATTATAATGTCAATTAACATAACAGATAATTACTTTTAGTGTCCATTTCATCATTATTATTGTTCCATCAAAATTAATTTTCTTAGATATTAACATAAATAGGTACCTACTTCTAGATTATTTTTAATCATTGAGTTTCTTAATCTATTTTTTAGATATTTAAGAGTAGAAAACAATCTACAATTATCTCTTTATCATGGTACTAGTTTAGACTCAATAAATTTGAACGCCAAGTTTAAATTCATCACAAAATTATCGAGTTATTGATTGAAGCTCAACTGTGTGCTGATTGTATAAGCAATTTAGGCCAATATCCTGGTTGCTCAGTGGATCACCCCCTCCCCCTTCCACACTTCTTATATTCCCATGTATTTGTAGAACATTATATTATAAGAATAAAACTCGGATCTCGGAATGAAATTATACATGATAACGAACAAGGAATATCATGCTTTTACATTTGTTTTTCAGTAGGTACTTAAGTACCCATAATATTATAAAAAATGTATTTTTACATTAAGTACACAGGACACCCTGTGAAGATTTACCCATTTCAATATCTCCCGAGAATATAAATATACTATAAATTTGTTTTTTTTATTAGACTCAAATTCGAGCAGTATATATATTTAATTGTTTTATTTAATTTAATGTTTTGATAAAAAAGTTAAAAAATGTATTTTTTTATTTTTTTAAATTTTGACTTTTCAAATTGTATTTTCATTAATTGAACATAAAACGTATAATATTTCCAGGGTATTTCTCTATTTGAAAAAATATACTAAAATTTAAAAAAATATTTTTTATAGTTGTGATGTTGGTTGTGGCAGCCGGCAGGTATGCTTTTGATTAGTTCAATTTGTGATTGCTAAATTAATATTTTGTTTATTATCATTTTTTTTTTGTATTTTATACTTAGCAAAATTAATAATGTGTGTAGCAAATTGTTCTTCCTTGAATTTAGTCCCTGAAATAATGCTTTAGGTTCCTGTTTCGATGTAAATAAATATTAAAATAAGAAAATTTAAATTGATTTATGTATTTTACGAGGTACCTTATTTATAATATCCCTAATAAATCACTGACCCATAATTATAAGTCATAGTTAATTAATTAATACATACTTGAGTATTAACTGCATTAGAGCTATACTTAAGATGTCTAACCGCTGTCCACTTAGAAAACAAAAATTCTGCTAAGATTTTTTTAAAATAAACTTATGTTATAGATATTATATTTTTCACCTCCTACTTATACTTTTTATGCGGATGTCTTCTAGCTCCAGAGTCGTTATTATGGATATGTAATTGGCATTTGTGATTTTTATATTATGATCAAAATTAAACATATTTTTGGTAGATTGAGAGAGAAAAAAATAAAACAATTTATGACAAATTAACAAAAATGTACTTACATATAGGTAATTTTCCTTTCTGTTTTTAGCATTATTTTGTTTACTGATGCTGTTACAATTGACTTTCATGGCCAAGATGGAAGAGCATTTCATGGCTCTAAAGTGGGAAAACTGTTTTTAACTACTCATCGTTTGATTTTCATCAACAAATCTGACAAGGACGAGCTTTTATCATTTAGTATGCCATTTGTCACTCTCAAAGATGTAAGTATCTCCAATACTAAAATATATAATAAATGTTTTCATGTCTTATAACTTTGAGATTATTGTAAATATTAGGTGGAATTGGAGCAACCAGTTTTTGGTTCAAATTATATAAAAGGTAAAGTACGTGCTCAACCTAATGGAAACTGGGTTGGTGAAGCAAAATTCAAATTGATATTTAAAAAGGGAGGAGCTATTGATTTTGGAAGAGCCATGTTAAGAGCAGCATCAATGGGTAAGTTGTTTACATAATATACTATAATTGTTTGCGGATATATATTTAATATGAAACAATCAAATTAATTTAGCTAATAGTAACTATCCTGAAATGGATAATCCGCCAGCCTACGCTCCACCTGAAGGTCCATACTATATGGCTGATGTTCCGTACGGTGTACCTCCACCTGGCTACTATGGATGGATGCCTTCAACTGCAGCTTTCCCAGATGCACCACCTCGTAAATATATATTTTGTTTATTGACGAGTGATTTTTAGTAAAATTTGTATAAAACACGAACCTATTTGTTTTTTGACACATTTTATTAATTACTAAAGAATATTGTTAGCAAATAGTTGATATATTTTTATTTTTAGCTCAATCAGTGTATAGAACAGATATGCCTCCTCCATATCCAGGTATTATTGGTTTCACTGGTAATCATGGTTATGCAAGCGCTCCACCTGCCCAAACAGCTCCACCTCCACAACTTTTTAATGGACAAGGTATTAATTAATCACATTGTCTTGTATATTAGTCAAAAAAATAATTTTTTTTACCATTATTAATACTTTTTGATAAAAATTGAGGTCTGTATATAAAATCATATCATGCACAAATTACTCGTATCCACTGTGTACTATATTATCACTATTTTAGTAGTTATAATATTATTTGTACTAATTATGAGTTATTCATTAACATAAATATTTATTTCTATGTTGCTGAGTAAAATTTGATGTGATCCTACTCATATAGGATTACTTTAAATAATATTAATTTTTTTTTTTTAATGTTTGATTATTTACCAGTAGTATTTAATTTTTTCGTAGATAATACCAATAATAAATGAACAAGCTAGCGAAGAAAAAGTTAAAAATAATGAACATTTGTAATTTGAATTAAAAGGAGCATATAATTGATACCTATATAATGATATAAAAGTAATGATATATCTATACATTTTTTTAGTATCTATTTAAAACTATAGCGAAACTAAAATAAATTGTGTTTACTCCAGACTATTCTATACTATACTACTTACTTACCATTGTAGTTATCCTAATTAATGTGTAAGTTATAATTAAAATATAAGTTTCAAAAAATCTGGCCATCTGACAAAATATTTTATAAAACAATATTACAATTAATTTAAAAAAAAATGTATAAATCTTAAAGTAACAGGTACATAATATTTACAGATGCAAAAGCAGCAGAAGCAGCACAAAGTGCATACTTTGATCCAAACAGGCCACAAATGGCTTATGTTCCACCACCATCATACTATGTAAGTTTATTTTTGTTATATTAGTTTTAAAAAAAATTGTCATATTAGTTATTATATACTTTGAAAAAAAAAATATATATACCCTGTTCACGGTAAAAAAAAAGATCTTACTGTATCAAGAATCAAGTCTAGATTCTAATCCAGAGAGATTACTAACCTAAAATGATGCTTTTATAATTTTTATATCTCTTTATTATAATAAAACTATTATTATTTTCGATATCCTAATGTTTCTTTCACACACTTATTTTTGTCAATAAAATACAATTTGTTTGTTTGGCCTTGATATCAGCTCTTATAAATTATTTATTTTCTACCATCATTATATTGATTTATATTCTACCATCAATTATAGTACTTTTATTTATTATTTTTTCATTTCAATTATCAGTTACTAAAATGCAACATTATTAATATTATTAATAAGTAATATCAAATAATGCATAATATGTTTGTCATGTGTATTATACTATTGTAACTAGTTGGTAATAGTTTATCATTCACTCAATGAAAATGGAAAAAATAAATTAAATTATGAATTTAATAAACTTTGGTGTAATAAAATTTTTAATACTAACATGGTTAATGCCCGGATTTTTATGCAAACATTATTGTTAAATATGCACATATTTATGCACGCAAAAATTTAAAATATGCAAAAAATCTTCATTGTGTGTTAAAAAAAAACTAAAAAACATTAAAAAAAATTAAAAAATATAATTATGTGAAAAAAATACAATTTAAATATCAGTATTATACTTCTGCTTACAATACAAACGTTTACAAGGTATACAAATTTTTAGTTAAATAAATGCAAAATTAATAACAGAAAATGTAATACTCATTAATTTTGGAACGAGTACCTACACGAAGTTACAAAATGTGATTATATATTTTCAAATTTAAAATTTTTATTATCATCACTTAGCATAAATTTATAATTTAAAAATACATTTTGTGAATCAGAGCAAAAAATAAAAACAATTCATATACTATTTATAAAAAATTCAACTTTTATGAAATTATTGAGAAATATGTAATTTATATTCACTTTTATTCAAATATGCAAAAGTATGCCAAAACAATTCAATCATAGAATTTGCACATTACTAAACGCCAACATTTTAAATTAAAATAATTCTATGTCAATTTTTGAAGAATATGTATTTGCATTAAAATTTGATTCTTAATGATGATATACATCCAATATAAAATGAACAAATCAGTCGATTCAGTGTCACTTAATATGTTCTAGTTTTTATTTGAAAGCTGTTTATAGTTGAAATAAATTATGTTTTTTTATTATGTTTCAGGAACTTCCTCCACCTTACAAAGAAGCTGAAAATAAGAAGAACGATTAAAAGAAACATGTTTATGTCTACATTCCATTGATTGTTTTTTATAATTTTATTGTTTTTTTTTAAGTGGTATTGAAATATGCAAGGATCTTCAAAAATGTGATTGTATTGCATTATTTCAACAGTTTATTTATCTTAGTCAATATGGGGATAATTACCATCACATTTAATCATACATTAGAAATCGCTCATTAACTGTCTTTTTTTAAAATTATTTTTGTAAGATGATGCTAGATAACCTAACAAGAGTAGTAATATATCAAAGAAAATAATGAAAATTATGCTTTAAAATCTCATGTGTTTCTGAGTTAGACATTCATTTAGTACTTATTTAAAACATACTTTTAGTCAATGCAATGTCTTTATTTGTGTATTCCAAGTATGTCATCTCCGCGTTAACACATTATTATCAATAATTTTCATATTATACTACGTCCACTATGTGTGCTGTTATAATCACTATTAAGAAACATCATACTAATTATTATTGTCCTTGTAAATATTTTTCATTTAAATATGTGTTTTTACAAATTCTGTTGAATAATTTTAGATTTCAACGATTTCTTACAATATTTTTCCACTGTCGCGCGAGAGATATTTATTGTATTTTACTTATGGGCGATTTCTATAATATCCACATGGTTATTTTATTCAAATATTATACTATTTTTATACGCTTATTTTGTTTCATTTCATTTAGTTATGTATAAAAAACAAAAACATTATATTCTTCATAATAAAAATTAATTGAAATATTTTAGTTTTATTTGACATTGTAAATTATTTTCTTATACGATTTTGGTGTACAAGGTAACTATCAACTATTATTATGATAATAATAATATTTCACCTCTTGGCTACTGTTAGATTACATGTAAAATACCTGATGAGGACAAATGAAGGAAGAAATTAGTTTGATTAGTAAAATATTATTGTATTTTGAAGTTATATTTTATTATACAATAATATAGAAGCATAATTATAATATATTATTAAAGGTAATGAAAAATGTACTATCTAATCTAAATATTTTCCTTCATCTATTCGAGTTTCATGCGTGTAATAAATTATGTTATCAGAAAAATTGTAAATAGCACTGCACCATTGGAAGGTACCAATTTAAAGTAACTAATGGTTGTATAGTGGTTAAAAAAAATCTGCACTTACACTAACATAAGTATGTGATTATAACTACTCAATATGTAGTATGTTATTTATACATTTATCTCATACTTGGATTATTAGTTATTTTATCTCACATGTATTAGGTAATATGTAGGTAAAGATGTAAAATTGTATGTCAGTGTGGATTGGGGAAGGTATTAATTGTGAAACAATGATTCAGAAAAATAATAAAGTCTGTTTAAATTTATAATTTACTATTCAGTACTTAATATCTGATGAAGTAACAAAATGTTTTCGTCGTTTTCGAACAAACATTTTATCAATAAATTATATTATTATTTTTGTGCATCTGTGCCCATATAACTTTGTTTGGTTTATTATATTTTGTGTACAAAACAAATAGTGCGGCACCATGACAGCATATATTAGCGAGGTGGTGGCGTTACTGCGCTAGTGTTGAAAAGTATTTTTTTGACATTCTATTATTTTTGTTTGAGGAGCGTGCGGCAGTGATAAATGACAGACACATAAAATATTTAATATTTTGATTTTGTCAAATGAGTTAGTACCTACGACCCACAGAGAGTTGAAGGCACTGATCAACGAGTTGAGTTTGTTTTGATCAGAGGTCCATCTACTTTGATTCAGTGTATTAAAATAATGTCGAAAATGGATGAAACTTATTATGGATGCAAAAATTAAATTAAAAGAGGTCCACTGGCTCTTTTACGTAAAAGCCACTAAGATAAAGAATAAACTAACAATAATATTATATAGTTTGTTTTTTATGTACATTTTTTATACCTTGATAACCAGCTGGAGTCCTCTAAATAATCATTGCTTATTACTTATTAGTTATTGAACTAATTATTTTAAATATCATTTTCGGTTTAAGAATTTGGTGTTTATAGACTGGCAGTCTTCAATGTATCAAATGCATTTGCCTACGGGCGCCTGTGTTCCCCTTTCCATTTTAGATTCTGAGCGGAGCGATGCACATATTGCTCTTCCAATGTGTGTTTAAAAAAAAAAAAATGTTGTGTCTGTCATCACGTTTTTGGAAAGTATAAGTGCTTCGATTTCATTCAACAGCATTTTTTTCTGGTAGAAAAGTGAATCCCGAAATTAAGGAAAATGGGTAATTTTAACTAGTTTTAAACTTTTTGTATTTTAAAAATTTAAACTAGTTTTTGAAAAAATCGATTTTGGTTTTTAGTGTAACTCTTAAAAAAAACGACCGTAGATACATGAAATATTCGCTGAATGTCTGTGTTAGTATTTTCTATACACCTTATAATTTTCAAATTATTTTGATTCGTATACTATTTATAGGCATATGACATTTCTGATAATTATGTTTTCTTAAACTAATGTCAATAAAAAAATTTTTCACTCGATTAAAAAAACTTGAAAATGTAATGCAAGGTTCCTTGTAAGTTTTTGGTGGAAATTTAAAAAACAAATTGAGCGTAAATTCTTGTTTGAATTTAGAATTTTGACAAAATTCCTAAAAATCGCGAAAATTAGCATAGTATTTTGAGTTAAAAATTCATAAAAAATTTTTTTTTATATCTGGGATATAAAAATGTCATTCAAGATTCCTTATACGTCTGTGTACCTTTATCAATAAAAAAAATTGTACCGTAAAGTCGACTTAAATTTATCCATGAGCGTTTTTTACTTAAAATGTGTAGTACATTGGATATTCACCAGATTCCTCCGTAAAACCACAGAACAATGGTTCTAAAGTTAAAATGGTTAAACTCTATATGATAACTGAAATGCTCACCAAGCAGTGTTGCCCGAGAGAGAATGTTAGAACGAGATGGCACATACGAAATGGTGTTACTATCTTTGTCTTGTACATGGCCCTGATATCTTATATTCATTTGCATATTATTTTAGTTTTGTTTTTAAAATTTTGTATCTCTTTATTTTTTTTTTAACTTCAACAAAATATTTTTGGATAATTTAATAAAATATTAATAATTTAACAATAAATAAATAGTTTATTAGTAGATAGGTAATTATAATTTATATAAATAATACAAGTATTGAAACATGCTTTTCTTGTGGATAATATTATTCATAATACCTACTACTTACCCGAATCAGTATCTTCTGACTACTACTTACCTTAACTATACTTACTACTCTCCTAACTTAACTTAATACTGTAGTTTTATAATCTAGGAAATATCCAGTAAACCAAATCTTCAATACATTTTTGTTATTCTTTATGGCCAAAATTTCCTAATAAAAAGAATTATTTAAAAACAAAATGAAACATTGTAGATACTTTAACTTTAATTCATAACTTTTGAGTTGTTTTCGATCAGATATTTTTCCCGAAATTAATGAAAAAAAGGTAATTCATTTAAAATAAACTATCAAAATATTCAACTAGGTATATAAGAAACCATTGTGAAATATGATGGTTGATATATTACATTTAAAAGCATTCATACGACCCTTAAAGCATATGAAAATAAAAGCATTCACTACAAGTTAACAATATTATATTATGATAGATAAGTTTTTAAAAAAATAAGTCCACAATAAATAAGCGGCAGTGTTAAAATAAAAGCATATAATGAAAATATATATTAATTATAAAATAAATCAAGCTCAATTAAAAGTATTCAACATATACAAGTTTCAATAACAAGAGTTGTGAAGTCCTAATATTATATATAAAAAAAAAATTTTAATTAGATATGAAAGTTTAATTAAATATAAACTGGTTTTATATTATAACACTCAAAATAACTCAGTAAACATATGTTATAAATATTATGCAGCACAGGTTAAACATGATTAAATAAAATAAGTTTGATAATTTATGACTAAGGGATGACTTTGAACCCTGTTTTTGTTGTGTCAATTGTTTACACTGTGTATGCACTCTTAAAGTACAGGAAATATATTAATGGTTCATTTTCTCTTGTTAATAAATCTAATGCTACATTTTTATAGCTTAAAATATTAATCAAATATAATATGTACATTTGTTTCAAATGATCAATGTGTAAAATCAATAATACCTACTATTTAACTTTTTATACTAACTTGTGAAATGATAAGTATTTTCTAACATCACTGAGCTAGCACAATTGAAACCACAACACAAATTTACAATATTAAAACTTAATAACCTTAAGTTTTAAGTTTTTTAACTTAATAAACTTAACTACCCACTGTTTTAATTTTTTTAAATTTGAGTTTAAAACGTGAAACAAAACGTTAAAAACGACAATATTATTCAAAATGTATTGGTAAACAATCATAATATTCATATAAGCATGTGTGATAAAAAGAGATAGCAACACCATTCTTATCTGCTGTCTTTTTCTAACACGCCATCTCGGTTATGTTTACATTGATCTTATGACTGGTGAGTATTCCACTATTCCAGTTATCATATAGAGTTCAATGGATTCCTCATGCAGCGATTTCCTTAAATATTTTACCTCGTCTTAAGTTGTTGATGGACATAATCAATTTTTTTTTCTATAAATGTCAATACAATTTTATTGGTTGGGTAAAAAAATATGAAAATGTAATGCAAAACTCTGGATATATTGTTACATAGCAGTTGAAATTTTGAAAATATCAAAAATCTATAGGCTCGATTTTTTTTGTATAAGGATTTAAAGTTAAAATTTTGACAATATTTATCAAATTGAAAATTGAAAATGATTTTGGAGTTAGAAATGTATACAATTTTCAATTTTTATACCTAAGGATTGAAAATTTAAAACAAGGTTCCACCTAAACAGTTTTTTTTCCCGTAACTAAAAAATCTAAAAAATTTATGAATACACGAATAAGTATATACAATGAATAAGTGTTATTTTTACAGACATTTTAAGTTCAAATTTCTACAAAATTAAATATTAACACAAAGAATAACGATGCTAGTCATTTTCTTGTAATTTGGTTTCAAAACAGCTCAATTTCACATAAATATATTTTGACTTGATAACATTTTTTTAGTTTCTTTTTCTGTAGCCGGCAATAAAATTGTATTGGTTTAGTCTTTAGTCAAAAAGCATAAAAATTTAATACAACACTCTTGATATATTGTTACCGTAGCAGTTGTAAAATATTAAATAATACATGAGTACGTTTCTTTTATAATCATTTAAAGTGCAAATGTTGACAAAATTTCATATCTTTTAAAATGTACAAATAATTTTATGATTTAAAATTTTTTAAATGTTCAACTTGTATAGCTAAGGGTTGAAAATTTAAAACAAAATTCCACGCAAGTGGGTTATTCTGTAAT